TTGATGTCACATTGCTTACAAAAGCAACTCCATATGAAGGGTCCGAGAAAATAGTTATTGGATGGTGAAAGTTTGATAGTTCAACAAATTGGAAATGAAACTTTACAAATTGCATCTCATTCTTTATTTCTTAAGAATATTTTGCATGTTCCTATGTTGACTGTTAATATGTTATCTGTGAAGCAATTATGAAAAGACAATCATAGCTGGTTTATATGTGATGAAGAACAATTCTTTGTGCAGGACAAAGCAACAAGGTGATTCTTCATCAAGAAAATACTAGCAATAATGAATTGTTCAATGTTCTTGTACATATTTTTCCTACATTGCTGAATAAAGGTAGGTGTGTCTTCTGCTTTCTTGGGGCATGCAGTGAAGAGTTCACTATAGTATCAAAGGCTCGAACATCATGCAAATGAGTTCTTGACTACCATGCTTAGGGATTATAAGATTTCTTGTATTTCAGATGATCATGTAAAAGTGTGTACACATTGTTTAAATGGAAAGATGAGCAGGATTCGTTTTCCTGATTGATTAGATAGGGTTAAGGTTCATTTTTATAAGACTTATACGGATGTGTGGGGACCTTCACGAACGGTATCTCTTGAAGGTTTTAGATATTATGTGTCTTTTATAAATGAAGCCACTAGATTTGAATGGATTTACCCTATGTTCAATAAAGTTGAAGCGTTTGGTACTTTTCTCAAATTTTGTGCATATGTTCAGAATCAATTTCATACTCGAATCAAGATTTTACAATCTAATGGTGGTGGAGAGTTTATGAGTAATGCACATTAGAATTATTTTGCAAGTAATGGAATTTTGCACTTTGTTTCATGCCTTACACTCCATAACAGAATGGGTTGGCAGAACCATAACACATGCACTTAATTGAGACTGCAATCACTTTGTTGTCTGTTGCCAAATTACCATAGAAATTCTGGTATGCTGTGTTTTTAATTAATAGGATGCCTTGCAAAACACTCAAGATGGATTCTCCTTTTTGGAGAGTTTTTGGTAAGAAACTTAATCTTTCTTCTAGCAAGATCTTTGGATCTGCCATTTTTCCATATCTTAGGGCATACAATGTTAACAAACTACAAACCAGGTCTATGCAATGTAGTTTTCTAGGTTACTCTCATGGGTATAAAGGTGCTCTAATGTTTTGACAAATAAGATCCTTGTGTCTCGCAATGTGATTCATGATGAAAGTTGTTTTCCATATATGGATTTAGTTAGAACATCAAATTCCTCTTAGTCATGTTCAAGTATCAATATAAAGTCAAGATCAATTATTGTGCAGTTTTCTTCTTCTGTTCAATATCCAGTATCTCCAGCATCAACTTCATATTTATTTGTTCTTGTTCAAAATATATCCATCAATGCTAGCTCTTCAATCTCCAATACAACTAAATTTAATTGTTCTAATTCTTGTAGTGTACAAGAATCAGAAATCCCAATTCTTATTGACAGATCAAATGTTGCAATATTGCCTGCAATGTTACGTGTTCTTCAATCTGATTAGTTAGCAGTAATATTGCCTTCATTATCCTCATCTTCTACACAGTCATCATTGGTTCCTCTTGCGTTCTCTGGTATTCAGACAAGATTGAGAACTGGCACCATATCAAGACAAGATTATATTGCTTTCACCACAACTTTTCCAGAAATTCAGTCTTTAACTTTAACTGATGATAGTCATTTCTCAAGGGGGGCTTTACTTTTCTAGCTAATATAACTGATTCATCTAAGCCTTCTACATTCAAGCAAGCTTCTCAGATTCCTCATTGGCAGGTTGCCATGCAAAAAGAAATTGATACACCATAAGCTTAAGGTATTTGGGCTCTTGTTCCTCCTCCTGTTGATGAGAATGTCATTAGTAGTAAATGGGTATATAAAATCAAAAGAAATTTCAAATGGTTCCATATCTAGATACAAAGCTAGATTAGTTGCTCAGGGCTTTAGTCAGGAGAAATGATTGGACTGTACTAAAACTTTTGGTCTAATGGTAAGGCATACTATAGTCAGATTGGTTCTAGCTCTTGCTGTCATACGTCATTGGGATTTAAGACAATTGGATGTGAAAAACACTTTTTGCATGAAGAATTACAAGAAGAGCTTTACATGAAGCAACCTCAGGGATTTGTCAATTCTAGTTATCCATCTCATGTTCGCAAACTAGTTAAATCTCTTTACAGTTTAAAACAAGCTCCAAGAGCTTGGAATGATAAGTTCACAATCTATTTGATAACTATTGGTTTTGAAGCTTTTCTCTCGGATTCCAGCTTGTTTGTCAAAAAGAAAGATGATCATGTAGTTATATTGTTGTTGTACGTATATGATATCATCATCACTAGTTCCAATTTTACAGTGATTCAATATGTGATTAATACTCTGAGTATAGTTTTTTATCTTAAGGATATAGGCACATTGGCTTATTTTCTTGGACTTCAGGTTTCTTAAAAATCCAATGGTGACATATTTGTGAATTAGTCCAAATATGTAAAAGATCTTCTTCATAAGGCTGCTATGGATGACTGCAAACCATGTTCTACTCCATGCAAGCCACATAATCAAGTTCTTACTACTGAAAGTACACTGTTGAATGATCCCATTTTATATCGCAGTCTTGTAGGAGGCATACAATACCTCACTTTTATTCGACCCGATATAGCATTTGCAGTTAACACAGTATGTCAGTATATGAGTGCTCCTACTGATGTACATTTTGGAATGGTCAAAAGGATCCTGCGATTTTTACAAGGGACAACTAAATGTGGTTTAACTTTTACTGCAGCCTCAACTTTGTCTCTTACTGCATATAGTGACAGATTAGGTAGCTGACTTGAACACACGAAGACCTATCACGGGCTATGTGGTACTCTTGGGAGATAATCTGATTTCTTGCAGTCCAAGAAACAAGCTTCTGTTTCCAGGAGTTCTATAAAAGCAGAATATCGAGTCTTAACTCATACCACAACTGACATCTCTTGGATTCGACTGTTACTCAAAAATCTTCATGAAGTTTTAGGGTCACCTCTACTTATTGATTGTGATAACCAATCAGCCATAGTTTTAAGCTTGATTCCTGTTCAATACTCTCGGATTAAGCATTTAGAAACTGATGTACATTTTGTTCGTGAATGAGTTCAAAAGGGTGACTTAGTTGTGCAATACATCCCAACTCAAGATCAAGTGGATGATGTTCTTACTAAGGGTTTACATGGACTTGATTTTCTTAAGCATTGTTTCAATCATAAGCTTGGTTATCCTAGCTAAGATTGATGGGGGTGAGGGTATTGGATATGTATATCATATTAGTATTTGCCACATCAGTAGTATTGCCACATCAATTGTGGCTTATGTCCTAAGCTACCTATACTGAATGTTAGTGTATAAATGCAATTTCTCTCTCATTTGTAAAGGATAAGGTCGGTTGTAATAACTGTTTTTCCTCTAGTGAAATACAATTCAGTTTCCTTTCTTCTCTCTTAAGATTTCTTTGAATTCTTGATTCCTACTGTGAATGTTAATTAATACAAAGAACAACTGTATTGATGAAAAATTACTTGAGAAAGTTACTTCTGTTAGAAAACTATTCTTGTGTGAAGGGAAATAAAGGTAAAATCTAATTGACTATGGATCAAATACATGAATTTAATTTTACCAAAAAAAATACATGAATTTAATTCTGAAACTGTAAGAAATTGCAATTGGTTAAAAAACTTTCGAGACTTGGGATGGAGAGCATCACGGTTTCTTAATGAAGTCATATTTAAGTGAAATTTTGAGGGATTTTAATTCTTTTAATGAATATAGGGGTATTCGATTAGGATTTTAAGTTATTCTCTAAAATTAAAAGTGTATTCAATCAAAATTTTAAGATAGTTAATTAAAATCCTTAGAAATTCGGGTGTATTCAATTAGGATTTCAAAGCAGTTCATAACATTCCGGATGTAGTCAATTGGAAATTGATTTTAAAGAATTTGAAAAAGTGGAGGAATTCGAGGGAATTTGAGAGATTTCTTAGTGTATTTTAAGCATTCACAAATCTCACATTCCTCCATGAGATTTTGAGGAAATTGAATCAAAATTTTACATTAAATTTCTACAAATCAATTAAACTCCAAAAAATTCTATAAATTTATAAATCTATTAAAATATATCAAATTCTAATACACTCTCCTAAAAATGTGGCATTGGAATTTCTCGTATGCAGTGTATTAGACAGTGACAGAGAAGAGAAATAAATAAATGCTAGTTGGAAACCAAACAAACAGTGAGAAAAAAATTGAGTAGTGGGGATGCGCAGAAGAATCATAGATTGGTGTAAGGAGTTGATAGGATAGCTGCCAAGGCACCCTATATTGGACAAAGATAGTCTGTCTTCTCATTTTCCGTGCTCTATCTTCTTATTTGTATGGTTACGGTTAAATTACGTTAATATTTTATATTATTATTCATTTTTGTCTTATTATCTCTATAAAAAAAAACAATATAAAATGTGGCTTAACCGTAATCACACAAAATAAAAGAGCACCGAAAGTGAAAGGACAAACAATCCTTGTCCCTCTATAATTCCCTTAAATGAAGTTTCTAAAAGGAAGATCCTGACCTACCACCCCCCCCGTGGCTTATTTAATTAATCTTGAAAGATAAGCACATTGTTAAATCAATCTGATAGAATGAAAAGAATCAATCTATCATTCATTTATAGAAGGAAACCCTTTTTAACTCAAAGCTTTGTGCGTGTTTCGATTTGCTTTAGTTATATCGTTAATTGTCTCTTTTCGTATCCCCTCATTGTATAATTGCAAGTTTAGACTTTCAAGTAACTCTAGGATTGTTAATCTGCACCCACCATCAAATTAAATAAGAATACAGTAAGTTAATAGTTTGATAATATAACATATATGCATCAAATACGATTTAATAAGAGAATATATGCATCAAAGATAGCTTAGAGAGAATAATCATTATGATACATTTTTATTGACATTTACTTGTTTGATTAATCCGCTCAAACATTATATCAGTCTCATTCTCTTCACTATTTATAACTCAAGAAACAAAAATTAGAAAGATAAAGTTGACCAAAATTCCATCTCAAGCTCCCTAGCTCCTCAAATGACAAACGCTAATCCCAAAATCAGTATGCTAATTTGAAGGGTCTATGGGGGTCAAGCATACTTGAACACCATACTTGGGTTTGATGGTGAGGACAATAACTGGAGCGTGACGATAATTAGGCGAAACAGTAAAGCTAAATTGTGAAATTAACATCGCTAATATGATTTTAGCTTCCATCATAGCGAAAGATTGACCAATACAATTTCTTGGACCGGTAGCAAATGGAATGAACCTCCCGGGTGTGAAGGACTTAGAAGCAAATCTTTCAGGGTTGAACTCATTTGCATCTTTACCCCATAGCTCTTCACTGTGGTGAATAGCCAACACTGGAATCCATATCGATAGCCCCTTTGGAATATGTAAGTCACCAAGTTTGATGTCCTCAAAAGCCATTCGAGGTAGAACAGTTGCTGGTGGATACAGCCTCAGTGATTCATTTATTACCCTATTTAACTGCAAAAAATCAAAGAAAAAAAATAATGTGACCGATAAGCTCAGACTAAAACTCTAGGAAAATGGCTTGGAAAAGAACGAATCCGGATCCTCGCCAAATTCTCTTTGTTAAGATTTCGAAAATCTGTGAATCATGTCCATTTATCATACATAGTACAGTTAGAAATCATTTTAAATATTTTTATTTAAAATTATACACAAACAACATCTGACAAAAATTAATCGCATGATGTATGATAAACAGATACAATTCACATATTCTTACCAAAAGGATCCGGAAAGAATCCTGTTGGGAAAAGAACGCATAAATTTAAGATATAATAATAGGCGCGACCTAGCTAGCTTGGTAAGGCTTATTAAAGTTTTTTTATTACTAGACATGCAAGACATTGCCACTGCCAAGCCTTTTGACCTGCTTTTGACTAAGTCGATCTCTATTACCAGCTAATCTCCTTTTAAAAAACTTCAATTTGGTGTTCTGGTTTTTTTTTTTTTTTAATTTTTTAAATTAGGCTTTTGGTAATTAAGTAGAACCACAAAACTAAGATGTTGTGCCAAGGACTACGGATAGGAGTAGATTAGGGGGCACTCTCTTGCTTAATGCCAACATGAAGAGTTAAAAATGTAGTAAAATTGTTTATACTACTAACTTAATTGGGTGCTAGTTTGGACACATTATTTAGTTGTTTGCATTCAAAATTAAATATTTTATTAGGAAGTGTAGTAGACTGAAAATTTATTAAAATTGCTAGTCAATTAGTTTAATACAACTGAGTAAAATCCAAACTTAGGTTTACAGGTATCTGTGAAGTTTTAGCCTTTAAGACCATGCCAAAAAATCTATATTTGTTTAAAAAAATTTGGAAGCATTTCTTAGTGGCTCTAATATCTTGTCCCTTCTCACAGAACTTTTTAGTAATTTCATGGCCCAAATGCCCACGATACCAAACCACCAAAACAACTAAAAGCTAATTACAATAATTTTAAAGATACAGAGTAAGCTTGCTTACCAAAGTGAGCTTGGAAAGATGATCAACAGATGGTGTTCCACCATTGCACACTTGCTTCACCTCAGCCCTAACCTTTTCTTGCCAAGAGGGATTGCTGGCTAGTAACATGACAGTCCAAGTGAGTAAAAGGGCAGTTGTTTCATGTCCTGCAAAGAAGAATGTCTTGCATTCATCCATGATTAGTTGCAAGTTTAAGCTGAAACCATTCCCTCTTTTTTTTTGCATCTCATTGAGCAACATCCCCAGCAAATCATTTCCATAAGAACTACTCCGACCGATCTCAACACAGTCCCTTCGGCTCTGGATTATCTCCATCAGCAGCCTCTCCACCTCCATTTTCAGAGATTTTATTTCTCTGTTGTATTTACTTGGGAAAAACCTGAATTAAAAATTTTCAGCATCTGAAATAAATTAGTATGACCTAAAAAAATAATTAGTACATATGTCATGATTTTGAAGCCGTTCAACAACTTACTCTTGAAAGTGATTTACAATTGACAAAAAAAAAAAAACTATGATAACTTATAAAATAAATAGAAACAAACCTAATAAAATACAAAGAGATGCTTATTGGAAAAACATGGACTCTGCTAAAGAAATTAAGAATAAGAAAGCGTGACCACGTAAAAGAAGCATATTGGCTCTTTTTATTATTTATAGGAGTTTCAATTAAACATTTCTAGTACTGTTAACTTTTAACCAAAATGATATTTTTGCTTTAAAAAATCACTCCTGGTATCATTCACTTACAACACATTTTTGTTCTTTTATTAAAACTCAAAATTTTCAAATCATTTCATTAGTTTTTCTTTATTTATAAAAACATAAACGAATCCAATTAGATATCCTCTCTAAAATGCACCTCAAATATTTCTGTATACTACTTACCGGCTTCCGGGAAGGCACAAGTGCCTGCTTGCTTGGGCGCATAGATGCTGCAGAACAGTGAGCAGTCGAAATATCTGCTTCCCTTTCTCGTAGCTGCTATCGAACTCTGTCCTCGAAATTATGTCGGCTGTGAGCCTTGTCATGTATTCTCCAATCTCAAACTCCCTTTTCCCTGAAGTCCCTATCTCATTTTTCAGCGATTGGAGCATCTCTTTAGTGCATTCCACCATGTACCCCGCATAGCTCTAATGAAAATCGCACCAAAATTAATCAAAATCACAATTATTATTGAATCATGATAATTCAATTCAAGAAATTGTTATTAGCACGGTAAAATAGTCATTATGCATTTTTATTTTCTTTTTTGTTTTTTGCTAGAGAGAACTGTATAATGACTTTTTTTGAAATACTAACAACATATACCGTACCATTATTCTAAAAATTTACAGAAACATTAAGAATCATCGTATTCATACCTTGAGTCTATCTCCTGTGAATGCCGGTGCAACGATGTGGCGCTGATGGTACCAATCTTCGCCGTTGGCCATCAGTAATCCGCGGCCGATGAAATGCTTGGAGCCTTGCTGTTGAAGCCATGACTTGCCGGAGATGGTGCTGTACTTGGACAGAAGCTCCTTGATCAATTCTGTCTCCGACAAGCACATCCGGGGTTCAATTCCATTCCAATATATGAATCTTTTTCCTAAAACCCAACAAAGTTATCAGAAAAAACACATAAGCTTTATATAGTGATCGATGTGGTGATCAAATTGAAAGATTTTGCGAACCATATTGTTTGGACCATGCGACATAATGGGGCAGGAGGCGACCGACGATGTCGTGGTCGATTGTGTGCATGTCGTGAGAGGTTGATTTCGCAACGAGGGTGGCCATGTCCAAGATGTTGCCGTTGAGAGGGCGGGGTTTAGGGCCTCGCACTCCTTGTTTTTCCATGGTTCTCTTGATGCGTCTTGGGGTTAGGAAGTAGCATGAGAGAGTGTCGTAAGCAACTCTTAGTAATAAGCCAAGAAATATGACCAGCAGAGTTGTTAGGAGCACCGCAGCCATGGTGGTGATCAAACAAAACAAGGAGAAGAAAAACAGAGGATTTTTTTTTGTTGCAAATTTCTGACGTCCCACACTCAAACAAAAGAGTGAGGGAGTGTGTGATGTTTTGATGTGAAGGTAGCCGCGACAACCCAATTTATAATGGCCAAGAGGAAGGCCTGTCAGCAATTTTTAATTAGGAAATATGTGTAGTGTAACGCTAGCTTTTCTTTTTATTTTATTAATATATATAAAATAAAATAAAAAGGCGAAAATATTCATAAAATAAGAAGGAAATTGGGTGAAATATTCTTTGGTTGGTTGGACCAAGGGGGAATTGTAGTGCTTGCATTTTAATTTTTAACCATATATCTTGTTAAAATCGAATCCTTAGTTTTACTAAAACTGGAAAGTGGAATTTGTTCGGGATTCAATTTAACGGCATGGAAGAACATGCATGTCAATTGTCAAACACATGTGGGGGTTACTCGTTCGGTAGTTGTCCTGGGTTGACCTTTTTTTCCCAGTGATTTTCCAGGGACTGGGGAATCGAGGTTTTCCACAGTGCGGATGTACCAAAATGTGAGTGTCGTCGATATGCGGTCGGTCGATTGACACTAACATTTTGCAAAGTTCACCAAGTGACTAACTAGGCAATCCAACCAAACTATCCAACCAAAAATAAATATATAAAATACCGAACTAATATAGTAAATCTGTTCAAGAAAATGCCATATATGCATTATCTAGAGAAACTCGTCACCATATATAGCTTTCATTCAATATTTACTACTATAATTGATAAGCATATAAGCAACAATTAGGAAAGTAATCTATCATAAATTCTTTGTAATTAATTTGAATTGGTGGCATACAAATCTAATCTGGCATGAATGCTTCTTTCCTTTTAATTTTTTCCCAAAAGACGAAACTGTGCGTCGAACTTTTGATTCAATCAAATACAAATATATTGTATCGAAAAAAAAAAATCCAATGATAGGATCAGGCTAAATGTTGCATGAATGTTGATCGAATTCAATAATAGGAGAGAGGGAAAGCTCGAAATTATTACAATAATTTAGAAAATTAGAAAATTTCGAACCCGAGACGAGTAGGTAAAAACCCAACAAACCTAACCTATAAACAAAAAAGTTGTTCAATCAAACAGAAAACAACAAGCTCGGTGTAATACATGATATAATTTTGAGCATAACATCTTATCGATGTAAAAAAGTTTGAAAAATTATACGGATTCACTTTTATAGATAAAAGTGTTCATATACCCAACACATGACACGCATTTTCATTTGTAAAATTCTTATAAAGCACGACTTTCTATTAGCAGCACACAGCATTTATTTTTAATTATAAAAAAAATGTTTTTATTTTTTTTTTTAAATCTTTTGGCTTGATAGAAGCACACAGAAATGTTTGGATTAAAATTTGTACATTGTGACAAGCATTGCTTTATTCTGTTGTCATGGACAACCCATAACCCTTGTTTTACAGTTTTACTAATCACATCAAATTTCTATTTCATGCATCGATCTATCTAACTTTTTCTCTCCCTTTCTTTCTGTTGGCCTAAAAATGCAAAAAGAAGTTGCGTATATAACTTGTTTTGTAAAACCAAAACAGAAATTAAAAAACCACCACATTTTAGAAGTTTCTTAAACATTTGTGATTTGAGAGGTTGGTCTATATTCCCACGCATGCCCAGTGGAGGCCATGCGGACCCTAGAAAGGCCTTAATATAAAGAGACATTTGTCGACTTCTCCTCTTCTGAGCTTGCTTCTCCTCTTCTGAACTTATAAGAAGTTGTTAATTTTCTCCTAAATTTTAATTTTAGTCGATTATCTCTCTAAACTTTTATAATTAACCAAATTTCCTCATGATGTTAGATTTTGAAATTTTTCATTCAGTTTCCTATCCATTTTGGGTACATGGCAAATGTTTGAGGGTAATAAATAATTTTAGGTCCCTAATGTGGACAATAGATTGCTTTTTCTTTTCTTTTTTTTTCCTTCTTTCTTCTCTTCTGCTAGTTGACTCCATATGCTTTCTGTTTGAATTAGTCATGAGAGTACAATTAGCAGCTACAAGTAATGACTTTGCACCCAATTACCCAAACAAACTTACTTTTGCTCTCATACAGTTGATATGTGTTGTCCACGTGACCAGAATTGATGGAAAGTTAGAGGAAATTTTTCAAAATCTAATATCATGGGGGAAAATTGGCTATTTGTAAAAGTTTAGGGGGAATAACCGGCTAAAATTAAAGCTTAAGAAATAGATTGATAGCTCTGTACAAGTACGGAGAGCAAATCGACAAGTAGGTCTAATATAAAAGGAATTCATGTTTCATAGGTAGGTGGGTGCTATCGGGTAGCTAATTGTATTAATTCCAATTATTTTCTCTAGAAGTTGAAAATAAAAAATGAGATGTAATATCTCTTTAATTATAGAAGGGAATCCTACCGTCAAATTCATCCAATGAGTGACGGGATCTCCAATCTCCATTTTCCCTCCCACAATCTGCCAGGTTTTGTTCCCCAATCCCTGCATACACTCACTAGCCTTCTGTACAAGTAAATGGGATTTCTGATGTCTTGATGTATTTAACAAACTAGTAATGTGGTTTAATAGTATTCTTATTTACTTATAAGTAAGAGATTTCTAATTTAACTCACATAAATGACAATGACCTTTATAATATTTGTGTTACGTTCGCTACTTAATTGGGTGGAAATTAAACAATCAACCTATATATTACATATACACATATATTATATAGCTAAGGTTTATGCACAACATCCATAAAAAGGTGGAGTGGGCATTATAGCAAGAGATGAGCATGGTCAGTTCGTAGCTGCTCGGGTTGTCCGTTTTGACAATGTGTGCTCTCCGGCACATGCGGAGGTTCTGGCTGCTAGGGAGGGCATGGCGATGATTGTTGAAAGGGGCTTGTCCAGCATCATTTTATAGTGTGATTCTCTTCAGATTACGACTGCATTGCAGGGACATTCAGCCGATAGGTCTTTCATCGGGCTTGTTATTGAGGATGCCAAAGCTTTCATGTCGGCAATCACTGGAGTTGTTCCAGCCCCTATTCGTCATCAGGCCAACGAAATGGCCCATCGTCTTGCAAGATTTGCCCTTCGCAGTGATGGTTCTCGATCTTGGTTCGAGGAACCTCCGGATTTTTTGGCGGACTTACTTGTAATTGAATGTTTGGGTTGATTTGTGTTTGGGTGCTCTGTCCCTCTTTGTGCTTAATTGTTGTAACCTCAAACTTTTTTTGTTTTTAAATTTTATCGCTGCTCTTCAAAATGTTAGACGAATTCAAAAAAGGTGACACAATACAAATAAAAAGCACAAATTTCATTTCATAACAGGATTTATCACATGATTCTTTCATTTGATTTACTCAGTTTAATATATACACATCGAGTTTTGATGCAATACCTTTCCATGTCATATTTGGTTTAAGTACTGCTAATGATAACTTAATCTAAAATATATGTGAAATCCAAGTGTGACTAGGGGTTTTCGGCCATTGCGTTCTTCAATAGACTACCTTGACTTGGTGGACCTTTTGAGTCAATTTTAATTCCAAAGGTGACTACTAAAAGAAAGTTAAAATAAAAAATAAATCCAAAGAAGATGCTGCTCTGACTATAGTGTGAGTGTGATGTGGAATTTATCATCCCCTGCATGCCAAAAAAAACCAAGAGCAAGTTGTCAGGTGGGATCAAAGTTAAAAGTATCGAATGAGGGCTAATTCTTTTGTTAATCTTTGCTTAAAACGTACGATTAATCGAGTTCATGGTGCATGGATCAAGATTAATAATGCATAATCTGTATATCTCTCCTGCAACTTGGGATTCGTGAAACAACTTTTACATAAATATATGCGTATGTAAGCTTTTGTATATGCAGGTAGATTATATACATGAATTTCATCACATTGCATTGTATGCTTTGCATCAGTTAATAACATTATCATTATTTGCCTCGTGCAGGTGCAGTGCTTCCTCCTAATTCCTTATTGGCTTGCACATGCCCTTCCACCATTGTACACAGCAGCTTTCTTCTCATACTCTTCTCCTTGCTCTTGTAGATGGTGTCTCCAGGCTGCAGGTCGAAAATAATTCGAAAGGTGTTACAAATTCTGCATTATAATATACAGAACCGGTGCAGTTGTAAATATTGTCCATGCGTCATCAATATTTATAGATACTAAACCTGATAATCACAAAAATATGGATATATATGACTAATTACACGAATCACAAGTCGTATATTTTTGGTACTTGTTTGTGATTGTTTGAGACTCCTCAACTGTAAGCGAACATGAATATCAAACGTTCATGTCACAATCAACATTATCAATGATTCAAATTGACAGTCTGAATAATATTCACAATAATGCATAGACATGCATAACACATGCAGATTGATGATGGATGAAGTATGAACACTAAGTAAAGTTTAATTAACGTGCACAGCCACCAGTGTAAGTATTCGATCAGCTTTGGTCGTTGACATTAGTGTGTTCTAAGCATGCACACCGAATCTTCTAATCTGTTTAATTAGATATCTCCCCGATACCCAAGTGGGGTTGAGGGAACCCAACCGAAAGTAAACAAGTTCAGATATTTTAGGTATCTCGATTAAGAATTGATCAAATTAAACTAGTACACAGACATCTGCATTAACAAGTTGATCAAGACCTGCTAAAAGAGGTAGTTAGCTTAATTAACAGTTTTCCAAGAATCTTTGGATATGTTCCATCAATTTGCAGTACCCTTATCGGACGTTAATGATTGGTTCGTCGGTGCATAATACAAATCCAAATGTTTAATTACTGTTTAAACTAAGATTAAAAATTGTCATCGTTAGCGGAAAGGAATTGCGGAATCATAATCTGATCATGATTAAATTACCATTACTTTAAGAATTTAATTATGAAAAGGGATGATAGAGATTAGAGAGGAATTGTTGACTGTATGAGTCAAAAAGTATGGGAAGGGAGAAAATATACAGGTTAGGAAAGCAAGAAAAATGGAACATATTCTTATGGGGCAGGTTGCCCTTACAATTAAGGGCATGAGCCACAAAAGATATAGAGCTTATGAAGTGGAGAACAAAACCATGACATTTGAATTCCGTACATCAAGTGGTTAGTATAGATGCTTTGTACGGTCATATTTGTGTAACTTTTATGTAGTATAACATGTCTTGTCTGAAATTGCCAATTTCTAATTTTGGCAACAAAGTTCACTAAAATTTTAGAACTTTCCATTAAGTGTGTAAAAATGCAATATTTTCCATGATCCACCTTTCCATTTTTAAGGTCCATTTGCAACATAAAAAGATGGAGAGTTGGTTCATCAAGAACTGGATATATTGTATACAATAAGCCCACCTAAAAGTTCCAGCTTGAGTCAATTAGAGAGCCCATCACTTGTACACGAATGTGTCAAGAGATCATTTTAGCTTAACCAGTTTCCACTCGGCTCAAAACTTTACCTATGCAAACACATTTTCTTTTGTGTTTTTAATAAGTTACCTACATATATCAATCTGTGATTTGTAGGCAATGAGAAATGAATCCTTGACCGTACGGACTAAGTAGCCAAGTATAGGGAAATGATAAACAGACTCTCTTGTCCTCCAACGTACCCTTGTTTAATCATGTTGGTTGTTTGGCAATAAGTGAAAAAGGCTGTGTGAAAAACTAAAACGGATGTGTGAAAATCAGCTCTCATAAGTTAACGAGAATTCGGGCTAATATACGAGCATGTATTGCAGATCAGGAGGCAGAGGAAGTAGGAGCCATGAAACCACAAACAAATTTCGAACTAAACTGACCGAATCCAACAAGAAATTTAAGAACTCAAACTTACCCATCTTAAGAGAATTCCTTTATACCTAATGCTGCAGCAACGAAAGAGCGAGTACGAAGACATAGATATTTGGCCAATTCACTGATCACTTTTGCATCAATGGCATTGATAAAGCTCGAGGATGAAAGTAATAAATACATAAACGTGCTGCAAATTTTTGTTTCTTGCTTAGGCACGGCCTCAAATGGAATATCCAAGCTCCATACTCAACCTGGCAAGTACAGTTGATATGTGAAACAGCATCTTAGAGTTTAATTCGAACGGTCAAAACAGTGATGACCTTAAGCACCTGCTTGACCGTTCCTAGTTTGCTGCTGCAACTCTTCATCAGCATTTCTGATAACTTGGTCCCAGCCACTCCCAGCACTTGTGTCCAAAAAATCAAACGGCACGGCTGTCTTCAGACCTGGCCTAACGGATAACTGACTCTCTACAATTCTGAATTCAACACCATCCCCTCGAATCTGATCCAATTCCTCCCATGTAAACATTAGAGGTAGCGTAAATGCGCCCCATGGGTTGAAATCCACAACCTTAATGCGATCATCCTGTGTCACATATACATCAAAGGTGTAATTTTCTGATTCAAATCTGGACATCAAATTATCCACGAAAAAGTCTTCGATCAACGCTTGAAGGCTGTGTTTCTTTTCAAGCAGAGCAGGATAACAAGTAGTGACCTCACGTTGTGAAATTCCAACTAAATTATGATTTCGTACAAAGCAACGGAACTCCATCTCTGGCTTGAGGGACTGGTACCATTTGCCGTAGCGCAAGGAAGAAACTCTTCGGCCTTGTTGAGGTTTTGTCACTGCAGGAATCATATGCGTGACACAGATCATGGACCAATGAGTCAGATGATCGTAGCAAGAGCGCAATCTCACTGAACGAAGAGCACTTGAGGCTCCCAGTTGTGCTGATCCAAGCCGAGTCTTTTGGTGCACTCCAGTTTAGCTTAGGGAACACAGAACCTCCAAGGGACTTAATCGATTCCTTGACCTCCAACTCAAGTTCGGGGAAAGAGGGCGGCATAGAAGGCTGCTCCGACTCATCACCAGACCCTTCTGATACTTGATAGTCGTCTTCCTCCTCCGGATTATGAATTCTATTGGGGAATGCATCGTCATTTGAGATCGAAACAGGGAGAAGGAAGGGCCCTGAATCGTCGAGAAGGTATTGGACAAAGGATTCCGGAAGTTCATGAATTCGGGTTTTGATAGACAAAGATTTAAACTTTGGGTACCATTCCTGTATCTGACATCGATTCACTTCTTCCTCCTCCATTTTTTTTGCTCAGTGTAAATGTATACAGATCAAACACTTCCTGTAGTACAAATTATCATAAAAATTCTCTCTTTTAATATAAAAAATATATATATCGAAGATCGAAAAAAAAAAGGGTTTTTATGAAAAATTATTACAACTCCATTCAATGAACATCAACTAAATCAAAACCCAGATGAAGAAACATCATCAGTAATACAATTTAGCATCAAACATTAAACATTCTTTCACCAGTAACGTTTCCTGCATGAAATCAGTTACAGAGACAACAACTACGGCAAACGTTAAACACTGTAACAAATCCAAAACATAGGACACTTGAAACACAATCAACAAACAAACAAAAATCGAGGGTATTTGAGAAGATTTGAGCTGAGTAAGTTAAATGGCAGTCCTAGATTTCTATCAGTTCCTCAGGTGGTGGAAGACAAGACAACATGCGAGGTTGCGAACTAATTTAATGATTTCAAGTTCGAAACTTTGTCGGTGCCCAATCGAAAAAGTGATGAGAAAAATCAAAGCAGAGAGAATATGTGTACCTGAATTGAGTTCAGAGGCTACAACCTTGAGCTAACATTGCAGGAAGAGTCGAGAAATGCGAAAGCTTTGGTTTTTTATTTTCGGGGATGCTTGTTACTTTAGTTCCTAGGTTTTGTGTTGATGGGCTGGGCCTCCGTTACGAGAGCTAGTCTAAGGAACAATGGATTTAAGGAAGCCAACTCTCGTTCTTTGGACCAACCTATGACCAACCAAAAAAATGGATTCGTCACTCTTTTTCACAAACACCAGGAGAAAGGGTTGCAAAAGACATTATTGCCTTTGCGCTGTTGGAGTATAGTTCTGTCATTTTCGGAGAGTGCGCAGACAACAGCCATTTCCCCCTTGCACAATATTCGCGAAGTAGCTCCCGAATCAAAGTGCGAATGTTCCTTAGAAGTGTCGTATGCTTGTTTTGATCGAGAAGGGATGCTTCAACCATCAAACATAGTATGCCTGACTCGGATTTGCAAGAATGGCTATGTAGGTAAGGGGATCAGCGTTATGATCGCTTTGAGTTTTGCTTGAAATGTGTATTCTTACGTACTAGTTGCTATTTGGCCGTAGATCGAGTTCTAGGTTCTTCCCTTACATCAAGATCTTAGGTTCTCTATTTCGTCGATGAGTTGTTAATTTAGCGGACTTATTTAGAAACCTCATAAATATCGATTAGTATAATTTAGAATATCATTTTGGTAGCTAAATAAGAAAATTATCATGCTTTTCATTAAAAGCACTCAATCATTTCTAATCACCCAACTCGTAAAATTTTTGCAAATGTGGATTAGAATTTAGACTCGTTTCTTGGGATTTGCTTCTTTAAGGGGGATGTTTGTTTGCCCTCGCTAACTCTCACTAGATTGGACTGGACTAAAGGTTAGTCCAGTCCCTTGTTTGTTACCCATTGTGACTAACATTAATGACACTAACCTTCACTCGCCTCGACTAACCATGGGATTAGCCGGTCTTAGCGAACCCCCTCAAAAACCATGGGATTACTAGTCCTGTTTCCAGAACTGCATACGATGTTTGCAAGCATGATTCTGGGCAACTCTGTTTGCCCACCCATGCCCGGATCTAAAACCCAATTCCACCCACAACCTAAATCTCAAAATCCAGCCACCAAAATTCGAAAAAAAAAAAAAAAATTAAAGCAAGACAATAACAATAACAATTTCAATAGAATAATTCTTCCTTATTCCCAAAACTTCCCAGAAATTTCCCTGATAATTTTCTTTTTCCCAGATAATTTTCTTTTTCAGAGAAAAATGGATAGAGAATGGGAGAGAGTAACTTTGGGGATAAAAAGAGATGGAGAGACGGAAAGGGAGGAGAGAGTAGCTTTGCGACGATTTTGCAGGAAAAATGATTTTGAAGTTTTCTGCAGAAAAAATGGATTTGAACTTTGAAGAATTTTGAAGGAAAAAAGATGGGAGGAAATGAAAGAATGGGCGATGAAACCAAAGAGGAGGAAAGTACTCTCTAGAGAGAGGTAGAACCGTAGAAGAGTGTCTAGAATTTTTAGAAGGAAAAGGTTGAATTCATAATAAAATATTATTAGATATATATTAAATATTATAATATTATAATTTATTAATTGTTCTTTTTTTTTTTGCCAACACTGAACGCTTTACTAACTTAGTTTGACTTAGTCTAATCTAAGTCAGTTCAACTTAATCTCCGAAGCTAGTCTAGTCCGAAATAGTCCGGTACAACAAACGTATCCTAAGAGGATTACAAAAGTTGAATCCTCCTACATATTGATTAGTGTGTGTATATATATATATATATATATTTTTTTTTGGATAGTATTGATTAGTATAATTTAGAATATCATTTTGTAAATGTTTTTATTTTCTTCAGAGAAAAAAAAAAAAAAAAAGGAAAAAATATACCAAATCCAAATCTTCCCTTACTTCTTCACGAAGCCAAAAACTCGTATCCTCTCCAAACTAGACCATCTCTCAATCCTCAGTTCCTCAATCCTCACCGATAGATAACACATACGGTACACGTGGCATATTTTCATTGGCCTATAAAAATACAACACGAGAAATCACCAGTTTACTGGATCGGACCTCCTCCATTCTGTAGCGCTACTATATCACCGAGAGAACAAAGACTACTGCTTTTCGTCATCACGGTGACTTCGTGCTCTCTCTCTCGTTTCTCTCTTCTCTCTCTCTGGAAATTGTGACCGGCGCCAACCGGAGATCGGAGTCTCGCCGGAGAATCGAAACTCTACGAATTGGCCCGAATCGTGCAAGTCGGAGAAAACGATGAAGGTTTTTGTCAAGACTTTGAAGGGCACAAACTTCGAGATCGAAGTGAAACTCGAAGAGACGGTATAAAAACATGCATATACGTATCTTAAATTATTTTAACCATCGGCGACTGAAAATTCAATTGATTTTGTGCTTAATTCGTGATGTTAATCGCTTCAGTTTTGGGTAATTAGGGTTTTGGGGCGAATGCTAATTAGGGCTTTTCGCGCCCCGGTATTGTTGGAGTTCAGATTGTTTGATTGTTCGCTGTTTTGGTTTGCATAATTGTAGAATTTGGTTGAAGTTTTAGTGAATTTATTGTTCAATTGTGCAAATTATTTAGCTTTGGCGTTAGTGTTATAGTCAAACATTGACATTGTTGCGGAATTTTTCAGCTTTGATCACTCGGAGAGGTTCATGTTAATTGGATTATGGTTGCAACTCCATGAGCGTTTAGTTTTCTAGTTAACTTGGACTCAATCTGTAATCTTTTATCCTTTTTGCGTTGATTCGAATTCATGGTCTATAGTGAATTGGTAATCTGAATCCTAGATAGGATTGGAAGAATGATCGAACCTGATTAATTTCAAGTGCCTGTTTCGTTACGTAGCGCACTTCATATGCACTGACACTAAGCAACTCGTGCACTTACTTTTGGTTCCTCAACAACTTTTTTTGTATCCCATTTTACGATTTTCAGTTCATTGTGGTAATTATTGTGTTAATTGTTTCTCCCAGGTGGCTGATGTCAAGACAATTATAGAGACAGCACAGGGTGCAGATGTGTACCCTGCCCCACAACAGATGCTTATTCATCAGGGGAAAGTTCTTAAGGATGACACAACTCTAGAACAAAATAATGTTGCTGAAAATAGTTTTATCGTGATAATGTTAACCAAGGTGAGTTTGCTTTTCTTACTGTTGTTGGGATTACTTAAGAAACGACTGGGTTGTAATTTTTTTTACAGGATTTGTAATTGTAAGATGTGAAACTGTGCTCATATTTACTATTTTATTCAATCTTTAAAAGAAAGAATTTCTAAGTGGGCTTGATAATCTTAAAGAAAATATTAAAGCGTGAAGTTGGTTTATGCGATAGCCATTAATTATCCCTTTTTGATTGGTTTATGTTGTTTTGTATTATGAGTTGTCTTTTGTTTCTATTAATTGTATTACTATAATCTTGTAGCAAGGTGGTGTTTTTAATGAACTTACATGCTGAAACACTTGCAATTTTAATGAAACTACAGATCCTAATTACTTAATTATGTTCTAATTGTCAATTGCAGCCTAAGGCCTCACCAGCCGGAGCCTCCAGTAAGCAAGGTGCAGCCACAAGTCAGGTAAATCAGCTCAGTTTCTGTATTTAGTATTATTGTTTTGGAATGACCTTTTTTCACATTGGTAGTGCATGTGATTTTGGTAATCTTTTTATTAGACCACATGGATAGAAAAAATCGTTTTTTCCTTAATAATCCGAAGGAAGCACATCTTTATTTCTTTGTCTTGGAAAAGGTTTTTTGTGAATATGGGCAGAATGATGTATGGGGGATTCTTGTTGGGGAATTGTACTCATGAAGTTGCATATACTTTGTGGGTGAATTGTAGTCGTATAGATGTTCATTATATAGTTCCTCATTCCTGCCAAGAACCTTATTATGAGGTATACAATAAAAAAATTATCAGTATTATATTTAATTTTTGGAGTTCCATCTTATGTTGTCTACTATTTTGCAGGCCCAACCTGCTGGTACTGCTCCTACCTCTGCCGCACCACCCCCAGCAGCTCCAGCTCCAGCTCCTGCTCCAGCTCCTGCACCAGTTGTGGCGGAGTGCGTATACTGTCACACCTATTTTTTCTTTTGAATCACTCATCTAAAATTGTTTGGATGGAAGACTTATAACTGTTAGCTTTCTGGTATTTCCTTAGCATGCGAAACAACATTTTTTCAGTCTGATCAGTGCAATATGAAGTATACTATCATTTCAATTTAGTGAAAACCACATATTTTTGTCATATTATATAGTTTTACCAAAGTAGAGGACGAATTTCAATATTCAATTGCTACCTAAATTTTTATAGTAATTTTGACTTGCTTATGGTTTTGAGTGTACAATATACTTTTATCCGTTGCTTATCGTTTTCTTTTTCAATTTTAAATTGTTTTATTTATCATTTAAATAATTTTTGTGTTACCAATAAATGGCTCGTTTGTAAGTGTGTTAATTTTCATTTATGGCCTCTAGTTAAGAAGTATTCTGAGTTATATATAATTTAATTTGTTTTAACTCATTAAGGCCGTCTTGATTGTTCACTGTTCAACCTGAATTTCATCTTTTATATTTGATAATTTTATTACATTCTTTGGTCCAGACCACAGCCCGCCGCTCAAACTGCTGCTGTTGTAGCTCCTACTGATTCAAGATCAGATGTGTATGGGCAAGCTGCATCAAACCTAGTTGCAGGAACTACTTTAGAGTCTACCGTTCAGCAAATTCTAGATATGGGTGGAGGAAGTTGGGATCGGGAAACCGTTGTCCGTGCTTTACGGGCTGCTTTTAACAACCCTGAAAGGGCTGTTGAGTACCTATATTCTGTGAGTACTCAACTTTGATATTTTGATTCTTTTGTTTTGATGTTAGTTGGGCAATGTAGATAGAAGAAGTTTGATTACTGAAAATGAGGAAGAAAACACATGTTAATTTTGATTAATTGGGAGGTAATGCCTCTGTTTTTCTACCTAACACCTGTGTCATTTAGCAGTAGAGAAATTATTTGTCTCTGTTTTGTTGACCATTAAGCTTTCTGTTGATAAACACCTTGTACGTTGTGATATTCTCTTTTATAACAATGGTGCTCAATGGTGTTGGGTATGATCCATTCCCTCGCACAACTACATAGACCATTGAAATTGGCGGGTGATTTGAGTTGGATTATAGTCTATCTCCTGTTCAAAAGAACATCCAAAATGAAAATAAGACAGATTATTGATTGATGTCCGTCAGATGTTAGTGCCATATATTGTAATTTTTTTTAGTACATATTTGTTGTCATGACCTTGTGTAAAATTCGAAAATGAAAACTTTTACTTTGTTGGTCTTTTACTCCTCATCAGCTAATTGTTTTGATTCCATATAAAGTATTCCTACATGCATAGGAAGCATGTTTGGATGTTACTGTCGGATTGACACAGAAACTGATATTGATACACATGTCAGGGCATTCCTGAGCAAGCTGAAGCCCCACCAGCGGCCCAAGTTCCTGCTGGTGAACAGGCAGCAAATCGCAAATCCTCCAGCGCAGGCTCCACAACCAGTAGCACCTACTGGTGGGCCCAATGCAAACCCACTTGATCTTTTTCCACAGGTAGAGGCTGTTAATTAGTAATCTATGTACCTCTTTATATCCTATACTGTCCAAGTGAATAACTGTTCTTGTTGAATCAGGGCCTTCCCAACATGGGTGCAAATGCCGGTGCGGGCAATTTGGATTTCCTACGCAACAGTCCCCAGGTATGTATATAGCATCTTTTTTATTTGTGAATCCGCTTATTGTTTATATGCATGATTGAGAAAGGTATCTGAGCTTCCAACTCATTATTTCAGTTCCAAGCCTTGCGAGCTATGGTGCAAGCCAACCCCCAAATTCTACAGGTATTATTTTGTTCTCCTTTAATTTTCTCACTTTGGCCAAGCTTGTCGTTTTTAATTATAATTTGAGGACTCACGATGGTTTATCTTGCTGCAGCCTATGCTTCAAGAGTTGGGGAAACAAAATCCACATCTAATGCAGCTCATTCAAGCTCATCAAGCTGACTTCTTACGCTTGATTAATGAACCCGTTGAAGGGGGTGAAGGGTTAGAAAATCTGCCCTACTTGTCCATTGAAGCAATTAAAAAATCTTTGTTGATAATTAAAATACACAGGGTTCTAAGTTATTGAACTCTGTATGTTTCAGGAACCTTTTGGAGCAGTTGGGTGCAGCAGTGCCGCAGGCTGTGACCGTCACCCCTGAAGAGCGAGAGGCCATTGAACGCGTAAGTGTTATTTCTCTGCACATGTGACAAGTGCATTTGTTCCACTTGGTATGTGTGAAATATCATTGTTTAGGTCATGATTGACAATCCAAAACTTTTTCTTGCAGCTAGAAGCTATGGGTTTCGATCGGGCGCTAGTGCTGGAGGTATACTTTGCATGCAACAAGAACGAGGAGCTGGCGGCCAACTATCTTCTCGATCACATGCACGAGTTTGAGGAATGATGATGGCAACTGGGTTTTCTTTGGTCTATCTTTTCAGTGTCTCAACTCTTTGCCATGTTGGTTTAAGTTTAATAGGGTTTCTTATACTCTTATTCAGCTACTTGTCTTACATCTCCCAGCAGACGGTGTCGATCCCCCTTTTTATGTTTTGGATGGCATAATTTCTCTGTTTCTAAATATTGGTTACCATATTCTATACAGAATTTTTCTCTTGCAAAAAAGTGGGTGATTTCGGTTTTATATTTTCGTACCTAGCCCTTATGATTTTCGTAATTCGTATTCATGTTTTAAGTACTCGGAAGATGCCTATGCAGAAGTAGCTGCGAAATCTGTTATCGACGTGCATCTTTAACTGAGATGGATGAAGAGTGTTCCAAGTAAATGGACGCGAACGTCCATCTCGACTCCTTCAGCTCAGAACCAAAAGATCTCTTTGCAATGCACTTTTCCGGAAGGATCTCCTGCAGAACCGTAGCTTGGGATCGATTGATGCATGCCAACGCATTGAACTGCACGATTCAGTCGCAAACACGAAAAGAATTTCGACTGAAACAATGTGATCGGAAGATAACGGTCGTATCATCCGAGGATACAGTCCATATTTAATTCAAATTTAACAAAATGTGGTTCAGAAATAACCAAAATGTGCTACAAAAGAGAATTGCTAAGTATAACACAAAGCAGCTCAAAACTCATAATTTTTTTTTACATGAAATCTTACGCCAAGTTTCCGCCACTCTGCTGCCACAGATTGATGATATCGGTAGCCTGATTGAGAAGGATAATCATCTGCTTCTGAGAAATCCAAGGTTTGCTCTCGAGCAAGACCTTGAGCTCCTCCCACGCATCTTTCCTCGGCCAGAAGTAATACGGGCTGAGAGGAATGGAGCCGTGACCAGGTATCATCTGGTCGAGTGCAATGCCGATGTTCTTTTCCATCCAAATGAACTTCAATACGAGCCTCGGTTTCTCAAATGGCTTCACAACCACTCCCAGCTTCTACATCATCCAAAAACCGAAACACAAGTTTAACTACATGACCATTTGGAAATTGCAGATGTATGAAACCAAACGGAAACCAATGGAAAGAATGTGACAAGCAGTTTGGGACTGTCTCTCTAGTAAGCACTTCAGTTCATAAGCACTTCTGCTGGAGACTCTTAGGCTGGGTTTGGTACTGAGGTGCTTCTGAAAAAAGCTGGGAGCTGTTTTTGTGTTTGGTAAACATTCAGCTTCAGTTTTTTTTCACAGTTTTGGGCTGTGAAAAAAAGCTAAAAACAAGAAGCTGCAAAACCCAGTTTTGAAAAATCGATTTTTTTTCACATCTGTTTTACATAAAAATTTACCAAACATTATAATATTACTTTTTTTTTTTCAAAAGCACTCTTACAAAAAAATTTACCAAACACTCTGCTACTTTATTTCACAGCTGTTTATTCTCACAGCACTACAGAAGTAATTTTTTTTCAAATCACGACAATACCAAACCAGCCCTTAGGTTAGAAGTGATTTTGGTCATCAGAAAACGCTTTTAGCCCTCTTAGAACAATCCATAACAACAGCTTCATGCTTATAAATGTTGATAAACACAATTATGTTAAACCAAAAAAGAAAATTACAATGTTACAGGGTTGAGTTTTCACTTTCTAGCCTATGGCTACATTTTCTCAGCAACCAAACAGAACCCAGTAAAAAAGCAGAACAATTCTCAATTACAAAACAAGACATACAACAAACACACCAACTCAACAGAGATACTGAGGATAAGAAAAAAACAAACCTCTTTTTCCGGGGCGGTGTCGGCGGCCTCGTCATCGGTGGCCGTTTCTTCAGCGACCAGAGACTCTGCGGCGGCGGAGAGCCTTACGTTTCTTGCGGCGAGGGTAAGTCCGAGCCTCAGCTCCCGCAGCGAGTGAGAAACAGAGAAAGAAGAAGCCTTCGGCTTGAAATTCAATGCTCTTTGATTAACACTGCTGACAAAAAGAAGCTTCTGCTGCGGCAGCTTCAGCCCCAACGCGGCGGCTTTTAGGTTCGCCTGGCACTCGATTCCCATTCCCAAAGATAACATCTTCTTCTTCTTCTTCTTCTTTCTTCTGTTAAAGTTCTTATCTTCCGCTTTGAGTGGAGACTCAGAGACGGACAGAGATATCTGTTCATGTGAAGAGATATCTGTTTCTCTCCTGCCTTGTTTGTTTCTGCTTCTTGGGCTGGTTAGGTAACTCAGGCCCAAGGTTGAAGGGCCTAGAGTAAATCTATCTGGATAGCCCAATCAAAACCCGACCCAAGATGAAAGAGAACTCGGTGATAGATAGTTCGATTGGGAGGGGAATTTGAACTTGAGTATAAGAGGCGGACGCACGGTTTCAGTCCCCCGACATAGTGATACCATGTTTTATTCACAAGTCATTTAGTAGTGATCACCCGTCATCTCTGTGTGTTTTCTGTTTGCACGTGATTACGTCGACTCTTATTACTATATATATCATACACATTTCAGTACAATCACCCAGTTAACATTTTGTACAGTTAACTAGTGTAATCCCCTCGACAACCGTTAACGTTAATAAAAAGCACTATTAACCAAACATATCTCACTTTGAAATGTTAATATCAAGTGCAATAACGCGTTCACCCCGAATAAGATGGCAAGGAGGAAGTGAGAAGTGAAAGGCAGAGAGTTTTTCTCAATACAGTACAATATGAGGAGAGAGTAATTCAAATCTTTCTCCTTGAATAGATATTATCTCTACTACTACGACTACTACTAGCAAATCTCCGCGACCATACTCAAATTCAATCCATTAAGTTTCGTGAAAAATTCAATCATTGGTTCTCACCGGAAGATTCCAAAGTCATGATTCCAGCGACGCTCAACTCCACGCTTCAACATGGTATCTGCCAGCCTTTTCCAGTTCTCTAAGCCATCTCGCTGCTGATTCCTGTGGAAGCTCACTTTCTTTGGAAACAATCTCCTCAAAGGCTAATAATACATCTGCTGGCATTTTTGTTGAAGAACCTGCAACGTAAATAGCCGCCCCCTCCATCAGCAGCTTCCACACCTTCTCGCTATGTTCCCTCATCTTATCCTGTACGTAGACCTTCTGTGGCTGGTCTCTTGAGAAGGCAACATAAAAGCCCCCGCCCTTTGCTTCTGAAAGTACCCCACCATCTTGCGAATTGGATAACCAAAAATCTTTGTACAAAAAATCATTGTCCTCGTTTCTGCATCCAAAGAAGAACAGCACTGGAGCAGTTGATTCGGTCAAACTTTGTATGGCTCTTTCCTCCACAAATCCACGAAAAGGCGCACAGCCGGTTCCAGGTCCAATGAGAATGAGAGGAAGTGATGGTCGTGGGGGAGGAAGGGAACCTTTCTGAAACCACACTGGAACATAAACACCTGCTTATCACAAAAGAACAAAAATCAAGGACTTGAAATGGTAATTCTAATCATTTGTATTGTTAATAATATGCTTTACATGTACAGCATATGACATACCTTGCTCAGGATCAAGCTTGGATAGCCAATTTGAGCAGAGACCTGCTCGAATTCTTTTGAACGGCGTTGTCCATGATACTACATTAACTGTTAAGTGAACTTGATTGAGGTGGGCGGACTGGGGACGAAGAGATGGAGAAAGCCCTTGTTTTCAAAGGAGGAACCAACTGTACCAGCCATTCAAATGACATTTGAACAGAGGGGAAATCCTCTAAAACCTCCAGAACAGTCCTTTGTTCCCTCTGATTGTATTGGTATAGATCATCTCTTCCTTCAGGTGAGATAAAATACTGAAGTCTTTCTTTTTCATGTTCAGCAGTTGCAAACATACTCATGACCTGAAACATATTCAAGGAAGATCAACTGAAGGCACTAACATGTGTATAAACAGGAAGTGGGTACTTTTTATCAGAAGTTTGCTAATAGAAATCCATGAGTTACAGGCTAGATTCTTGCCTCAAAGAAATAGCGTCGAGGAGAAGCTGATGCAACATCCATTGTCAATTCAACAAAAGTTTTTAGGTTGATGGGGATACAAGTATCAAGGAGTTGATTCTCCATTTCTGAAGGATGAACCTGAAATCAACGGTGCCAAAAGTATTTAAGAACAAAAAGTCAGACGATGGAGAATTGTATAAATAATCCTTCAACATGTTTCCTTCTCTTGTAAACAGATTTCTAAAAATTGTTTTCGAAGTATAAGTACATTAATCAAAAGAAATAAAACAAGTTCCAACAAAGTTCAATAGTTTATTTAGTAAAAATTTTAAGGTAGCACGGCTCAAAATTTCAACCAATATACAAATGAAAATACTCACTGTGATGAATGATTCAGGGTCCAAATTACAACGACGTATGAAAACATCCACATGCAGCAGGATTTTGACTGGGGAGAACCTCAAGGACGTCACCAACTTCATAGGGAATAGGCTGGCATATCAAATGAAACTTTTCACTTTGAAACAAACAGAATAATATGCTATACATTGGTTGAAACAAAAATAAACTGGTAACAAGCACATAGTAGGCAACTTACAGATGTAACAAATTCAAATTCGAAGTGATGCACCTCTTTGTCTTTAAAATCTGATTTAGTCAGTGGTTCATTTTTTACCTACAAGACAAAAGTTTAACTGAGCTAAGGAATGCATGAAACAAAAACATCACAAACTTAAATTAACAGGTCTCTGAATTTAGAACTACCAGAATTTTCGACACACAGGTAATATTAGCATTCTAACATTACCAATTTAAGAATGCAGTCAGGCTTGTCAAGAGAAAACTTCACAGGAGACATTCTGCGTGCCCTTCAATCTGCAGCACAATGTGATTCAAGTCTGAGAAAACCCCAGAGGCATGACTTAATCAGACACTACATACAAAATCTATGCAAGGATGAGCTCAACAGAAATGACGTACACATCTGAAATCAAACATGCCTTATTTAACATTAAATTTATTTGGGTTTAAAGGGGGAAAGGCAAGGAAATAAAAAGGATTGTGACATGCCGTTTAATAGAGTCTGAAAACTTATCAGTCTGTAAAATGCATACTGCTTTTAGAAACATGATTTCTAACTATTGGTCCGTAAAATGATATTTGCAAATACACGATTATAGAAAGAAGGGAACTATAAACAGCCAAATTACCTGATTTAGATGAAACTTGTGAATCCACCTTGTCAATGTCGTGATATAGAATCCGAACCTTTGGTTTCGCCATAAAATTTTCATATGGAATCAAAAAGTCTGGGCCATTGGGGAAGTAGTTGGGATCGATTTTATTCAACGTATTCCACAATGATGCCATCCAAGGATCCAGAGCAGCCTCGTAACTGTTAACGGTAAAAGAAAATACATCATCCCAGTTTCTACATATAGCAAGATTTCATTAACTAATTTTGAAAATTTAAAAAAAAAAAAAAAAAAAAAAAAGGAATCAAAATCGTACCCTGACGGGTGCTGATCGTCTCCCAAACCTCTTTGGACAATCGGGGTTGCCCCAAGGTCCAAAAGTCTCCTATCAAGCTTCTTTGCCACAAACTGCAAACCACAACTCGAACGTCACAAGCATATAAATTCCATATAAATTAACGGGTCAAAAAGCAACACTTTATACTCATCAAGCATACAACAGGCTGCAACAAACAATCGTGCAGAAGTTAAAGAAATGGCACAAAACAATATACATTGAATTTCTGGTAACCGGAATCACCCAATCCGAAAACAGCGTAACGGAGTCCCTCCAGCCATTGCCTACTCAGATTTTTCTGCAGAAGATCTTTCCAAAACCCCTGCATACACATAAAGATGCAATCTTTTTCACATATTTAACCTTTATCACATTACCCACATGGGAGAATTACAGTAAATAAACGAGTTAACTGAATTGCTAGGAAAAAGCAAAAGCTTTTACCTTCATGGGATCAGGAGTATCTCCCTGGCCAGTGGTTGAAACAACAAAAATTACAGTGCCCTCTTGAGCTAAGCATCTCTAAGTAAAACAGAAAAATTAGAAAATTATTCTTCAGGTAATGCAATTATTGTTCAGAAGAAGAACAAAATTGAATGCAAGGGAGGACTACTTACGGCGTCGTATTGGTCGAGGGAGAGAAGGTGGACGGGGCAGCCTCTGCGCTCGGCTTCGCGGCCCACTCGCTCGGCGACGTCTAAAGCGTTTCCGGTTTGGGTGGCGTAGAGTATCAGTAGTTTCTTCCTCGCTCTCTCTTCCTCCATCTCTCTTCAAAGCTAACGAAGCTGCTGTGGTCCTGTGGATGGACGAGCGAGCGTCTCAGATTGTGTCGTCGTCTGTGCAGGGGGTGAGATGGAACGGTGTCGTATGTGCTTCGTTAAGTAGGTTCATATATGAATTTGGGTATATGACTCTATGGTTAAAATGTAATGCTAAGAGTTAATATTTAAAAATTAAATTTGACTATCATAGTTTAGTGGTATTTGTCTTCATTTGTAAATGAGAGATTTTAAGTTCGATTCTTACTAAAAGCGAATTTAAATCATATTTTTGCTAACTCATTGTGAGATGAAGCTCACCTAGATAATATTTTTTGTTTTTGTTCTTTTTTTTTTTTTTTGTCAAATAGATAATATTTTTTTTTAAAAAAAGGTTAAACTTGACTATTTTTTTAATATAAATGAATATTATGGGAATCGAACTTCAAATCTTTTTTTTTTTATTTACAAGAAACGATAGCGTGGTATTTCATTAATCATCTTCTAGTGACCAATAAATTGATCTAGAGTGAGTTTGCACAAATAGACAAATAAAAGTAAACCCCTTAGTAGGCTACCACAAGCACAAACACACAATCGCCAAGCGCACAACTGCCGCCAGTATAAATCTGTCATAACAAACGATGGACGCAACAAAGAAACACAAGCATCTACATTGGTCATCGGTGAATAGCAAGGCCACAAAAAGTCATCGCGATAGAGCAAGACAACATCAAGTCATCGTTGACAGATGAGACTACATAACTCATAGCACAAAGTCGAAGACCAATCTAGCCAATACAACAGCGCCACCACAGTGCTCACAAGGCAACCTGAAACACAACTAAACTACCCCGAGAAGGGATCCGTTGGTCAACTCAACACAGTGGGGGAGGAGGCACTCATGCCAAGGCCACCTACAAATTCACCAGACTAGTGAGAATCCGACATCCACACATCGAACACCATAATAGCTAGCCGTAACAGGCAGCAAATTCGCCAGGTCCGAGACGCACTAGCCAAGTTGCCAGATCAAGCTGGGCCGCACAAGTCGAGATGTACAAGCCGAGCCGCCAAATCTGAGTGCACATGTCAGTGCAGCCACAAAAACTAGGCGAAGAAGGTGACATCACCATAGAAACAAGCTAACGATGGTGGATCCAACCCACCTGCAGCCACAAATCCAACCCCACACCAAGAAATCGAGCGCCAAATCAAAGAAGAAATCTTGAAAGGGCATGACCCGAATCTGGGTATAAGACTTATCCATGGGAAGCTGCTTACAAAATGGTGAGAGAGAAGCACGGGAGGGGAGAGGAGGTAAGTAAAGGCCGAGAAGGAGTGGTCGGCGTGAGGTCAGGGGAGTGGCCGCCAACAACCTATTTGATCTCCTTCATGAAGCGCACCATTAACCAATACAACACCAATTGTTGTCCCAAGGCCTTCTGTAACCTTAACCATTTTACTGCTGAAGTGAGTTTCTCAACCATAGTTTTCTGCGTCCACTGAAGCAATAATAATAGCAAATCTGGAATCCCTTCACCGCTAACGGCACTTGTAGCGAGCTTCATATTGAACTTATTTTGTACATCCTTAGATTGTTTCTTCATTGCTTTCACAATGGGTGCATTGCGGCAGGTTCTCCACCCGTAGAGTCTGTCCACCTCATTCAATGCAACAATGAATTCCGTATTCCGCATTTTAAAAAGATTGAGTGACTCTATTGTCCAAGGCTCTGAGCCATGCATAATGTCAACAACCAACATAGCTATATCACATAAACCTGAACCCCGTGCCCGGAGGTGTCAATGACCAAAAGACCAAGGACCTTCATCTTCGCATCAGCTTTCGGTTCCTCGGTCCTCTCACGGATGTTCCCATCAGAAAATATGTTGCTCCAATCTGTTATGATTAATACCTCCAGCCTCACCTTCCTGAACATTTGTGCCTCGGATACAATCCAGCAACTTAGTTTTACCAGTATCAACATGGTCCATAATGCAGCAAATAGGAGAACAAAGGTTATCTCCACTCTTCTTTTTTGCAAGGTTTCTCCTTTCATCATTGTAGGATTCTTTTACCTTCACATCCTCACAGGCCGCCCACGTATGGTGAATTTTCAAGTCAAATACATGAGCAACACGAATTAAGTGATGTAGAGCATGTGTGACCATTGGCCTTCACACGTAGGCCAATCTGCTCTCATACCATAAGAAAGTTAAGGTTCCACCATAAAATCGATTGACAATATGGTGAGTAGCCAAACTTACGTATAAGTCAATGGAAGGTCAATCCTCCAATCAATGTGTGATTCATTATCAACACTTTTTACTTACGTCGTCAACATAAATATCAAGTAGTTTTTTACTTATTCTCACCATACTGAGGTTTTGATTTTATTGGTTGATAAGGAACGGTTGTTTTCTTTATATCACGTGATGGATTACCATGTCCTTCGGTACTGTATTTATTGTGGCTCGACAGTGCCTTCTACTGCCTTCCTTTTGTATGCCTGTATGGCTTAGTTTTGTTATTCTCTGCTTGCTGGGTTATATATATATTTTTTCTACTACAGATAACATTGCTGAACTTTTCCCCTTTTTGGGATTGCTTCAATCAATTCATTTTATCGACCAAAAAATAGAGCTCATAGAAAGAGTTTGTCTTAGAAACAAACTCCAAATAGAAATTCACCAAAAAAGAAAACTAAAAAATATAAATTGAAGTTGGAATTTTCTTTAATGATCAAAGAAAGTACATTATTAACCAAGGAAAAATCACATTCGTAATTGGCCAAATACTAATAGAAAGCATATACATTGGATTCTCTTTACAAGTTTCTTAATAAGTAGCAAATCCAAACTTAAGTAAAGATAACATTGGAATTCAACAACTTTTTATATGGTTTCTTATCAAATATTCCCCGTCCAAAAGTAGAAATGAATAATGCAACAAGCAACGGAAATTGCATCCAGATGAAGGAGGCAACTGGAACGCTGGCAAGCAAAATGATTGGAATAACAGTCGATGATTTCCCGTCAAGTATAATGTAAAGGGCACAAGAAAAGACAATCATCATGGTGGCGATAGATAAGAAGAGGGTGAAAAGGCCTATTATCATTTTTGTGGGCAATGATTTGCGGAAATCATCTTCAGAATAACGTGATGTGAGAATGCCTAGAAACATGATAACCGAAGTTGTTGAAGAAAAGAGCGAGATTGCATCTGAAACTATAAATGTTGTGAATACCTTTTTAGTTAAGAATTTAGGAAGGCCTGTATTTTCATCATTTCCACCTGGAACTGTGAATGCTGCAGCAAACATTATGGTGACAATAAGAGCACCTACAACTGTACAAGAAGTTGATGTTTCCTTCATTGACTTTTCTGCCTCTTTTCCCATTTCTTTGTGATTCTCCATAAATACTTCTCGCGGTGTCATATTATCTCGGTTTACAGATTCCCGATCCCTTGGATATGCATGGCTCTCCACCTCCTGCATTGTTGGCGACAAAAGATATTTAGGGAAGTGACTATGAAATCCTTATCTCTTCATATTAATCCTTGAACATTTGGTCTTTGAGACACCACATAACCCTAAATCACTAGTTAAGTTACATAGGATGATAGTATAGTACGTAATACATAATAATGTTTTTCTTTTAATTTCAATATTTTCCTGTCATGCTTGTGCACGTAGACAAGCTTTTACTTTTTTTTTTCTTTTTTTTTTATTATTTCTGAGTAATTCTGCATTCTCTGTTTTTTCTTTGAAATTGAATAAATAAAATAACAAAATAAGGGAGGGGAATAGGAGAAAATGAGAGTAAAACTATAGCCACAAAAATATGTATAAACAACATATAGACAAAATATATAATTCATAAATATAGGCACATATGTATATAGAGGTAGATAGACAGATAAATAGTCACCTGAAACCACTGTAGTTCTCTTTGCATTTGCAAAGCTGCACCTCGAATGTGATCAATCTGTGACAATGGGGTAATACTTGCCACTGTGTGTAGCATATTATTGCCAAAGTAATTTCTCCACCCTACTATGTCTTGTATTAGACCGTGGCCAGCATTGTTATCTTGTTCATGTAACAACTCATAAAGGACATATATAAGATTATAAACTTTGTGGCGACGACATTCAGCGGCAATTTGGAATAAGCTTTGATAGTTTTTGCTCGTAATGTAACTTACAGGTATAGGAAATGACTCATCATTTAATTCATTTCTACAGAAATGAGTAATATACTCCACATGCCCTCGTTCTGCTGCAACGCACAGTGCTGCCTTAAAGGCTTTAGTTTCATCTGTATTTTTTGTGGCTTTACACATGAGGGGTAGAAACTGTTGGACCCGCTCATGCATCAATTTCATCTCATATATATGATTGATTCCTAAGTTCATTCAAGAAAACAAATATAAAACTACAATTAGTTTAAAATAATTTTAATTTTAATAAAATAATCATAAAAAAAATCAATTAACAATATGAATGCGTGACCTACCCAAAAGTTTTTGGAGATTCGTCACTAGTCGTTGGAACAAACCCATTACTGCATTACAAGTCCAATTAGACACATACATATACCTACCAAATATATGTACACACGAACGCGCACACTATTATTGAGAGAATATATATTACAACTACAAAACAAGGAAACAAGGGATTGTTCTTTGCTTAATACACACAAGCTTACCACATCTCTTTTCAAGGAGGATTCCTCAAGTCAAAACGGTACGCCAAATTAGATTTGATGGTCCCAAGGAGTGCAATTGTGAAAGTTTGAACTCAAGTTAACAGGTTTGGCGTTCTAAACCTTTGTTCATTTTCCACGGTGACCAACCCCTTGGGGTTTTCATGTTCAAGATTTACTTTTGAAGAATTATGTTTACTTCTTCTTTCTTTTCTTTTTTTTCCTTTTTTTTTTCTTTTTTTTTCTAAATTAGTTTGACTATATTCAGTTTCCCTTCCTTTTAATGCGGAGATCGATATCATGTCCCCTCGTCCTCTTGGTTTTTTAAAGAAACTACAGGCATAATGAATTGGCCTCCTGCTGGTTTCCAATTATCAAAAGAAAAACACGTGTTTATATGACTATCTTAACGAACATGTTTGGAAATTTTGTGTTATAGTAAGGGTAATGTTAGGAATATTAAAATTTTAAATTAAATTTTGTAAACCAAATGATGTGGATGTTAATGATTGAATTATTATTTAAGTACTGATTAACATGTTTACTTCATATTGGTGACACATCATTTGATTTCTAATTTGATTTAAAATTTTGATCTCTATATCATTTAATTGTGTTTTATATATTGTTTTATTACAATGCGTTGTCAAGTTGTTAAGTTTTGTTACACGACCGGGCCAACTTAGAATAGTAAATGGCTCAATCAAAACAGCTTGAGCTTGGTATCAAGCTTGAATTTTTTAAGCTCACTCTAGCTCAGCTCGAATCACAAGAAAGTCAAGCCTGGCTTGAGCTCTAAAAAAGTTAAATAAATCAAGCTTGAGCAGTGTGACATTTCGTTTGGTCGACTTATTTATAACCCTAAGTAGGAATTATGGAATGAAGATGTTCATATATTTTTGTAGTAGCACTATGGAACAAATTACCATGGCATTAACAAAAGCCAAATTGCACTGCAGACATGTAAAATACCTGAGGAATTGAGATGCCATTGATTCTCATTTTGGTTTGACAGAGGCCTTTGATTCTCTTTTTTGTTTGAGAGGTGCCTTTGATCACTCTGGTCACTTTCCTTAATGGGAAGAAGAGGTTTTATGCGTATACCTATCAAGATAAGAATACAAGCCCAACCATTAATTCAAAGAAATATTCTAATGAAGCAAGATTTGTATGTTAACTACGTATTCATGCATTACTTCTAACTGAATAATCGTTGATTCATTTAATACGGATGAATGACTAAACAATTTTCAATTTGATTGTTGTTTTGTGGAGATGACTTTTAGATAATTATTAAAAATATGAATGGCTTCGATTGTAACATTTCTATGATAAAAATCATTATTTACAATAATAAAAAAAAAAAAAAATCAATATTTACAATTGGGTGAATAAGGAAGTGCACCCACAAGTTTACATGAAAATTATTCGCAATAGAATTACCCTTATCTTTATGGTGGCAAAGTAAAGACACGAATTTCAAATTTCATTAGGCTCTCCAAATTTTGGAGTCAAAAGTCATATTTGATTATAGGTGTAACCCTAGATTTAAAAGCGGGAATCTACCTTAAGAAGATGCAAAATTGTATTTCAATCAAGTTGGAATTTGAGTAATAATTGTAAGGGATAACTACATTTTACATCCTCAAAGTTTGATGTGATTTTTTAATGAGCCATAAGGTTTCAATTTTCTCACATTACACCCTAAAATTTTAAAATTGTATCAATTTACACATTTTGTATAATTGAATGTCTAATTATTCATTAAATTGATGAGTTTTTTAGTCAATGTGGTGTAAATGTTAATTACATATCAATTCAATTATGGGTTTCATGCTCCCCATGTCATCAAATTTAACAAAGATTCAAATAACTCGTTAGACAAAAGGTGTAAATTACTACGATTTCAAAACTTAGGAGCAATGTGAGAAAATTGAAACCTTGTGATCCATTTTGGAAAGGGTTTTTAATGGTATTCGAAATTGACCTAACTCGTCGTTGTGGTCATAAATTTCAAAATTGATCAATGTTGTCCTTAAAATTGAGTGTCACGCATCAATTTGGTCATTCCATTAGAATTATGTCACTTATTATGTTAGTGTGTTGACATGGCACACATATGTGGTCTACAAGTCTAATAAATAGTGCCACATGGATTATACAAAACAATTCATTCTTTTAAATGAGAAAAAAAAAATTTCGACAACCGAGCCAACAACCAACAGCGGAGACCAAATGGGTGTAACCTCTCTGTAGCCTCAATCATTGACTGACATCCGCTTATAAACTTAACTTTATATATTAACTTCATTGTCATAAACTTAATATGTGTCAAACAATTATGAGTGAGGCTACAAAGAGGTCACATCTATTTTGGTTGTAGAAGATTTGATCTTGAATCCAGCAAAAACCACACAAGATTTTGAACTAGTAATGGTGTTCAAGGAGAAAGAAAAAAGAAGAATTGGGATACCGATGTGTAATCCTAATCACTGGACCAATTTTACATAAGTGGACTATTCCTAGTAGTGAATCACAAAATTGAACTTATATCAAGTTTTTTCATTTAGAAAAATTGCAGTTACTCAAAATATGATGAGAAAATAAAAAAGCAATACTTTAATTTGTACTAACCGTAATAGATCAAATTTTCCCATAAACTGAGCCGGCTTCCACTTAAAAATGCTGAACGATTACTGGCCAATGTTGCTAAGGGAATATCCCCGTTGTAGTCCATGTTGTAGTCTTTAGCCACAGCCAATTGCGGGTAACGTTGAATCAAATCCCACACAATATCTGTATATAATAGAAGTGTGAAAAAAAAAAAAAAAAGAACACTAAGAAAAAAAATTTGTAACACAAAAAAAAAAAAAAAAAAAAAAAAAAAAAAATTCACACAGGAAAAGATTGACATTAATAATTGGCCATGTTTGAAACTTGACCAAAATTGTACCAAATCTTCTGCGACGAAAACCGAGAGAAATAAGTTCAGCACCATCGACAACTCTTAGTGTTTCACGAGTGAAGGAATAGAGATAGCGAGCCATTCTTTCCCCTTTTTCCTTCCTCTCAGCGTGGATAACTAGAGGGTTCTGGGTGTCATCATCAGGTAAATTTGTAAGTAAATTGTGGTTCTTTGCAACCATGCGTTTGGCTACTTCAACCATTTCTGGATATTCTCTCACTAAATGATACAAAGCTGTATAACCATGTCTGTCTTGTATTTCCAGGTCTTCCTTTTCCATTAAGTCCACCAACTCTTCTATATTGCGCACGCTGCACTTGCTTAACCTTTTGACTGCGAAGTGAAGGGCCGTACCGTAAAAAATTCTTGCACTTCGTACCTGGCGATGTTGGCGAAGAAACTTGATCGCTTTATCCCAATCTTTAGACTCCACATATTTGACGAAAGTTTCATGGATATTGTTGGCATTGCTCTCATCATGTCCTGCCATGTTTGGCAATTGCTAACTTTCCCATACTTGAATGAAAATAATTAAATACAATTTTAAAACAAATGGGAAATTCTGCGGCAGATGAACTAAAAGAAAATGGATTAATAAAGCTGTTAGTAGCAGTCCTGCATTTCTACCTAATGGACAAAACCAAATCATTCAAAATACGGGAAGAGAAAAAGTTATATAACTTATATAACAGAGATTCTAATTATAATATCACTGAAGTATTTTGTGATAAACTTCACACCTAGTAATAGGTGCTTGATTAAGTAAAAGACACTACCAGTGTTGATAGTGGTGAGCCATGTTAGGCTTAAACTTTCTATCATTAAATAGATGTCTTAATTTGTTAGGATCAAGGTATATACATATGTACCTCCAGTGTGCCCTTCTTCCATTTTCAACTCTGGCCTAGCATCACGATCAGTCGGAGTCGGATACGCTTGAAGAATTGTCCTCTTATCTGAGAATGAAAATGTTGATGTTTAGATGATGGATGCCATTCAATTCCTATTTTTCGTTTTTTTTCAATTCCTTTTTTTCCTTTTCGTCTCTTCGTCCAAATTCCTATGTTTAAAAATAGTACTGAAGAAATCATTGTTGTGCGTACTGTGATACACCACACTTTTCGAGTGCATATATATTAATTATGTAACACATCAAATTATGAGAATACTTAATCCATAATAATTACAAAATATTCCTCCTCAAATCAGAATAGATCACCTCCAATGTACAACCATTGTCGTATGTTTATTAGCTTTTCTATTTCCTTGAATTTTTTATGCATGTGAGAATGTGAAGATAAAAGAATTCTAAAACGAAGAAATCTTGCAAGGGATCATAAGAGATTGGTCTACTTATCATATTGTCAATTGGTTTTACAGTAAAGTATCAACTTTCTTCAATATATATGTACGTACCTATTTCACCTGATGATTGATTATATCGATTATATCCAAGTTTAAAATTTTCAGACAAAGTATCCCATGCGTCTTTGGCCGAGTCTAGGTCCTTTATAAGTTTATACGTATCATCCCCGCAAGAATTCTTGATTGCATATAAGGCTTTGACATCCTTCTTCCTCAAAGCCTCGTTTTCAAAGTCATAGGTGTCTTCGACAACGTCCCAAAGATCTTCGGCCATCAAGTAGCTCTCAATCCGAGAACTCCAACTTTCATAGTTTTTACGGTTAAGAAGTGTATGAACAATTGGAGCTGTCATGTTCAATCTGTCCATTCATTCAACGAGATTTTATGTTAGTCGAGCATATGTGGAAGGAAGAAAGAAAAAAAAAAAGCAAATATTTCCTAATTTTAAATAAGAAGCCCTACAAGAACTAGTGACAAACACCACCATTTCTATATATCGGTGTACAAAGAAATGGTAGAAGTCTCATATATTCAATTAACCTCGGTCTAGTCTGTGAGTTGAATATTTCATAATTCAATATCGGTCAAATTATGACCATGTGGATTAAAAAGATTTAAATAATAAAAAATAGTTTTGTATAATTATAAACTTAAAAAATAGAAAAATAAAAGAAAAAGAAAAAATCATCTTCTTTCTTCCCGTCCCACCCGAGCAACCACTACAGACCCCACCCCACCCCACCCCGTCGCACATGTAACGCAACCATACACACCTAAGCTGCTTTGCAATCCCCTCCGTCTCCATTTTCTTTTCATCGATCGACGAAGTGTTTCCAGTCACCACCCCCATCGAGGCCGCAAAAATCACCATCCGACCGACACGACAAGATCTCAAAGAACGGCACGTTGTGAAGAACGACAACGTTTCCTCCTTCGTCTTCTCATCACCGTGGCTAGGTCCAAGCCGTACGATGGGTCTGTTCTTCTATGGTAGTCGTGAGGGGTTGAGCTGGAGAGGCTGAGCTGATGGGTCCATTTCAAATCATCTTTTTATTTTGAATCATCTATACATTTGGCAATATTTTATTAAATTTGTAGAATCCAAATATGTGCCAGGATTGCGCATGACAAAATTTTTGGCAAAATTATTACAGACAAATCACATTGATTTGAAGTATTCATTTTCAAGATTTACATCAATCAATTTTCCATTTTAAGGACCCTATGTGAAAAAAATTCATTACAAAAACTTGTAAGATAATACATGTTAATTATACAAACTTGAAATAATAAAAACTAACACTGATTAAACTCTATTTTTATCTCTGACCAGATTGATTAGTAAATCACCTTTTTCATTTTTTTCGTTCTGGCACACCATAAAACTTAACAATGCATAAATACCACAAATAAACATCATAAATTACTTACAAGAGCAACAAAATGAAGTTTTTTATAGGCATAAAGAAAACGAAAATGAAGATAGAGAAAAGGAGAATAGTAATACCTGTCTGTGCGTCCTCCTCACTACAAAACCTTGTTGTACTCAACACTCATCACTGCAGAACAACAATCCATCATATGAATTATCAAAAAATTGCATGCAACGACAATTATTAACAACAAAAAACAAAAATTCAAATCTCTAACACATGAAGGCCCATGCAAGATCTGAAAATATACAATTCAGATCTCAAAGAATATGAACTCAAACCGAAAAGAAAAAAAAAATCAGATCTAAGGCGGTTTGGAAAAACCCAAATCTGATCTGAAGCAAAGAGGAAGAGAGAGACAGAGAGAGAGGGATTGTTGGTGATGCATAGGTGGTGTTGGTGATGGTGGGTTTTTGTATTAGCGGGAGATAGAGAGAGACTCGGTGAAGAGCCTTCGTGAGGAAGAGAGGGAGTGAGAGAGAAAAGGGTGACCGAGTGTGAGAGAGAAGACTGTTTTGTTTGAGAGAAAGTGTTTGGTGTGGGGCAAATTACAGAAAAGAAAAAGAACATAAAAAGCGTTTGAAGATATCTGAATCATAAAGCACAAGAACAAGAAAATATTTGTATAGGAAACAGGAAAAGTTACCACCAAGGCACAACCTCGAATACATTTGGTTAACGACGCTGATCTTCGGTGTCCGAGTTTCAAAGCCCGCCGATAGTGTTCTTCGGTGTCTGCAGTGTGTTAAAAATGGTGTCCTATAGCTACTTAGCTAGAATTCTCGTAGTGAAGCTTTGGTCTTTCGTCTTTCTTCTACATGCACGCCCTTCCTCTTTTCAGTTCCCACTGCCCAACCTATTCACCACCGCCAGAATTCTCACCGGCGAAAAAAAGAATGCAAAATAGGTTTCTGAATAAACCGCCCACCATGACCTACTAGCCGACCAATCTTTCAGTTCAACAATTATAGGGAGTGATCTTGTTCATGTGCATTTGAAAATGTGTGCAATTAAATAATGCATAATAGCTGTCGAAAGGAAAAATACGTAAGAAAAAAATAGAAAACTGTAACTCAAACTGCTCAATCACCTCTAAAATGGAAAGTCTGCTTATCTGAAAGAATGATCAAAGTCTCGAATTTCAATTCAGGGTTTTTCCTAAAACGTGCTAATGCTTGTGGGTTGATATCAAGTTTTCTATTCTATGTCTATAATAAAATATCAACAATTAAAAGAGGCTTGGTACCAAGAAAGATTCAAAAGTAGTACAAAATTAAACGCTTTGTACAATGTCCTATTTGATAACCGTTCTGATTTTTTTTTTTTAAATAAACACAATAGTTGAGAATTAAAAACAAAATATTTATCAAACGGCTTCTTATCAAACCTAAAACGAAATGATTATACATCCAATGGTCTCCAATATCAAATTGAAGGTATTCGGAAAAGTAATTCCCATTGAAAAGTAAAATTAACGATGTAGACATATAAATTTCGGTGAAAAAAAATGAAAAAAAATGAGAAAAATGAAGAAAAATTTAATCAACCTACGAATACAAGAATAGCATTTTCACAAAAGAAAATGACCAAAGTATAATCAACCTTCGATGTGCTCTTTTGTTTTTTGGCCAACTTGTAAGACAAGTAAGACTCATATCTTTTCTCATCTCTTTTACAAATTTTAGAAAAAATTATACTCCACATGAAATCAATGATAGATTTTATACATATACAGCCATTTGATAGTGGAGCCTTCTTTGCTTTTCCCATAATGCATACTGTTTAATTCTCTTCTTTTGAGGAATACACTTTCATCAACTTTGTTTAATTTTCTTCTTTTGAGGAATACACTTTCGTCAATTTTGCCTCATTGATAACAATCATAAAGTAATATGAAAACAGTACGAGCTGTTCTTTTGCGGCAAGGAACGAAAAGACAGTTACAAAACATTAGTGCAAAGGTGTTATATATTTTTCAATTAATTAATGGCAACACGATCATGATTCATGAAAGTTCTTACAGATTTAAATAGATAAACGGAACCCCATTAGCAATCAAATTCAAGAATTTTGGCTTCTGGGAAGTTGCTAGAGAAAAGTCATAATCTTTAGTTAAGAGAGAACAAACATTTTATGTTGAGTGCTTAGCACAATTAATCAATGTCACAAATGTTAGGTATGGTTGAGTGGAAAAATTAGGTGAAATTAATGGGTTTTGTGTGGTAGTAAATAATCTTAGTTTAATTAAGTGTGTGGTGTAACTTTCATTTGGTTTGCTATAAATACCCAAGTCCCCAAGCATTGTATATCATCCAAGAAAAAACAAAGCCTATAGCTAAATAAGAAAAGCTTTGCTAATTAGTTTGTTTTGTGAGCTTTCTTTAGGAGTGTGCTCTATTTTCTTCTTCTTGGGATCATTAGAGTTATCTTGGATACTCTTCTTATTCAACAATTGGTATCTAGAGCCAAGTCGGTCAGGGATTGTTCTTGGTAGAGCATTGGTTGTAAAGTCTCTTGAAATTCCGAGTATGCTCTGTGGTTGCAGTTTTGACTGATCTTCCACATCAGAAAAAATTTCTTGAGATTATTGCTGTGGTTATCACAAACCTTGAGAGGGAGCTTCTTTGTGTCGAGAGTAGTGTATTACTCTGCACGGTAGTCACTCAAGCTTGTTCGGTGTAGTCAAAGTCTTGCCGATACGATGGGTGATCTTCAAGTTGTTGGAGGAATCAAGAAGCTCAACAACCAAAACTATAACACATGGGCAACGTGTATAGAGTCTTACCTTCAAGGTCAAGACTTGTGGGAGGTTGTCGGTGGTAGTGAAGCTACACAACCGGCAGCGGAAGATGCTAACGGCGTCTTGCGGAAGTGAAAAATTAAAGCGGGCAAATCAATGTTTGCTTTAAAGACCACAATAGAAGAAGAAATGTTGGAGCACATTCGGGATGCTAAAACGCCAAAGGAAGCATGAGACACTTTTGTTACACTCTTTTCGAAGAGGAACGATACAAAATTGCAACTTCTCGAGAATGAGCTGCTATCGATGGTACAACGCGACATGACGATTGCCCAGTACTTTCACAAGGTGAAGTCGATATGCCGCAAAATTTCAGAATTAGATCCAACAGCTCCTATTGGGGAAACCAGGATGAAGAGAATAATTATCCATGGTTTGAGACCCGAATATCGAGGGTTCATTGCCGCTATACAAGGATGGCCGACACAACCATCGCTTGTTGAGTTTGAAAATTTGCTTGCAAGTCAAGAAGCTATGGCCAAGCAAATGGGAGGAGTCTCACTGAAGAGTGAAGAGGAAGCGCTCTACACCAACAAAAGCAAAGGCACCTTCAAGCGGTACACTGGTAGTGGATCTAAAAATGATGGAGAAAAGGTGCAAAGTCACCAAGGAAATGGAGGCTCTCGTCCAGGGGGAGCTTGGAAGAATCGCGGTAATAGTAAAAAGTTTAGTGGCAAGTGTTACAACTGCGGGAAGATGGGCCACATGGCAGAAGATTGTTGGACCAAGAAAGAGCCTGTTGAAAGTAATACTGCTACTTCCAGTTCGAAGGAGAATAGTGAAGATGGCTGGGATGCTGAAGCATTATTCACTACGGAGGAAGAAGAAGAATTAGCCCTCACGGTAACAACACCAGAACGCATTGACTACAAAAATGATTGGATCGTAGATTCGG